CATTCTATGCCCAGCAGCCATGTTCCATCAACCCAGACCTTTACAGAGCCTTTTTCTGTCGGTTGTCTGATAGACCTCCTTGTAATCACCCCGGTGTAACTGAGCCATCAAGCAGCAAATCAACAGCAATTTGCCGCAAGGACCTTCAATATCCTGTTTACTCCTTCTCTCCAAAGTGAACCTGCTGCTCTTTCTTCTGCTTCCTCCTCCTCCCACCTCTTCCTCCTCCCAACAACACACACCCATCAGTGTACCTGACCCTGCCCTCCAAATCCTACTGTTCAACATCCCGTTACAGCAGACAGGGAAAAAACAACAGAGTCCAGTGGTAGTTGTCCAGGCCTGAGTAACTCACTGCTGTTTGAGTCAGTGCTATTGATCTGATAGATTAAACCCTTTCACCATCCACTTCTTAGTACTCTGCTCAGGTTTTGCAGACAGAGCTCTGCGTCAGTGGCGAAGTTGTGAAAGGGGATCTGCGTAAGTGTATGAGAACCTGAAAGCACTTCACAGTAACAATCAGAGTTGTGCCCTTGAACATGAACACTGACGGGGAGAAGAGAGAGCGGAGACATGCAGGGAGTGCTTTTTAGACCATTCGAGGACCGCGGCTTGATTTGCTTTGTAATTGAAATTACACAGCGGTAACAGAGGACCTCTCACAATCAACAGTTGTGTAACACAGCGAGAGGCATAGTGGGGATGGCCGAGTTAAAAACCAGTCCGTTCAATTGAAATCTGAAAATGAACCAAATCTAAGTGTGGCATTAATACAGATGGCTCTGAGGTGATTGCAAACAAGGCACTTGAGTTAATGATAGAGGGCTTTGCTCAGAATAAGAGGATTTATCCATGCCTAAAGAGCAAATATTATTTCTTTGTAATCACTTGTGAACATTGAGGAGTTGGTAAACATTCTAAGGAGACAGATGGCATGAAAATTGCATGCAATGTGCAGTAATACTATATTTATGAAATTGTTTAGCTTAAGTACTGTGTCTCAGAAGTATTCAGTTTCAACAGCAACACTGAAATAATTCATCAAAGCTACATACAATTGCAACTGTGGCAGATTCATGGCAAAAAAAATGACCAGTTACACAGGGGATAAGCAGAAAAAAATAATGTGGCATTTTTTTTTGTTGCAGGATCATCCATATTTCATGACGTCCTCCCTCTCACAGCCATTTGCCTTTGAATATCAATTCAACACCTTTTGTCTGAAACTGCTGTAGTGTTTCTAGCCCAGAGCAGATACCATTTCTGCTATTTTTACATCTAGATTCTTCAAACCCTTTGTGGTGCCTCATAAAAGGAGATGATCTTATGATGCTCGATACAATTAAAGGGTGCAGATATAATGAAATAAATCCCCATGTCTGTAAACACATAATCCATTCAAAACACTTCCCATCAAATGAACAAGAGATGCTTTAAGAAATACATATTTATTTTAAAAAATCAAGTGCTTAATCACTCCAAAAGGAGGTGAAAATAAGAATACATAAAGTCACAGATTTCTCCCTCCTTTCCATCCATTATTTATATTTTCTTCCCTCTCTCTGTGAGTGAGAGTAACTGTCTCCATTGGAAACTTGTGAGGTAAATGAGGTATTGCTCTAAATGTGAGAGTGGGCATCTCTTCCTGGGTGCCTCTGAATCGATGAAAGGCAGGATCATGTGCTTAATGACCCAGGTGTTAGCCGGAGGGAGAGTGCCGACCGACTCTGCCCAGAGAGGGAGGGGGGATGGAGGGCACACACTGACCACACTGGGCTACCCCGCTGATCACTGCTCACTCACACTCTCAGAAGTCTTAGCTTCTCTGGCTCTCTATGTAATGGAGGTATTCCTGATAAGGGGAGGACACACAGGTGCGCGGAACACACGCGTGATACAGTAAAACGCAACGCTGACATTCTCGGTCAAGGGATGTCATTCGCACACACTGACACACGCGTAAACGTTCTCGCACTCCCACACACTACAGTAACAGGGGAGTGAAAGTCAAAGCATGGGTCATAATTGAGCTCTGTTGAGATCCTCTTCAGTCCAGAGTGGGAGAGCTGCTCTCCTCTCCTATTCTCTCCTCTCCGGAGCTTGCCTCTCCTCCTCTCCTCCCACAATGGTCTGTGGCTGGCTGTCTGTTTTGGTCATTATGAGTGATGGAGCTGCTTCAGAAGGCCTTGGCTTCGCCCAGCGGGCTGTGGATCAATCAGCTGATGTCTGAGGGAGATAAGCCCTCACAGCCTCCCAGCTCCACGCAGCCCTCCCAGTGTTCAGCCTCACAGCCTGTCAATCCCACTCATCTCCCTCCATTGGCTTCTGCTTCCTGTTGGTCTTTTGGTCTGTTTGTCTGTTCCTCTCAGCTGAAGAAGTAAGTGGATTCCTTCACCCGCTGGAGATCAAAGTTGCCTGGGAGACAAACACAACACAATCTCACCTCAGTGAAAAGTGATTGAATTAACGCACCGGAGGATACGTTAATGCATGATGATTGCTTAAGTTTTGATCTGTCAAATATTGTTGTCCAATTCTGAGTGATTGATCAAGTTTAATATCCCTCTCTATCTTCAGATCCACAGTGAATTCAACTCTGTAAAGTTGCCCCTATACATGGCTGTCGACTCCTATAGACACTTCATAGGAGTCAATGTTTCCCCTACCATTATACAGGTGGGCCAGACTGTTGACTGTAACCTGTCATATGTGCGTGTAGGGGCAGGGAGGGGCCTGTCTGTTTATATCAGGGACCAGATTATAATATTGATTCTGTCATTCAGAGGAGGGGAAATGACAGCTAGGCAAGACTGTGCATAGCTATTCTATCTCAATTACTACATGTAACCTATGATGGTGAACCTACTATGTGAGATGAACAAAATGTTCCGATTATGATGTATAACAATGGGTGATTCTGAAATGAACCACGACCTGTTAAATGTAACCTGGCGGAGTGATGCAGTAAATCATCCTGGATTATGTCCAGATAGTATTCATCCACTGTATCCTGTTAGAGGAGACAGCCAGGGGTTACCGTGGTGATGGCCTCTGCGTGGTTCAGACACAAAGCAGACCACCACATCTGCCTGAGCCATGTAAGCAGATTATGCATGCGGGTGGAGGGTGGGGACAATTAATTGTAATCAATTTTATGCAATTCAGCTGCTGGTGCCAACCAGCCACTACAGATGGACAGAGAGGGAGAGGTTTCGTAACCACAAAAGCCTCCGTCAGAACTGATGGATGGACGTGGTGCTGACAGAACAACGGACGGTGTTATCAATCATCCTCTATGCTGTGGGGATTAGAGGTGGAATCTGATGGACAGAACACACAGGTCACATAGGGTGCAGAGAGAGAGAGAGACAGAGATGCAGAGAGAGAGAGACACAGAACGAGAGAGTCAGAGAGAGATGCAGAGAGAAAGCGAGATGGAGAGAGAGCGAGAAACACTGACCTGTTTGGGGCACTTTGGCCAGCAGCAGCAGCATTCTCCGGTACTCCAGAAACTTTTTGTTTTTGACCTCGCTCCTGGAGGAGAAGGGATGACAGGATAAAAGCCTTATTTAACTGTTGTTGTTGTGGTGGTGAGAGGTTGGTCAGGAGTCCCGGTTAGTGAGAAGAGCAGGGCAGTGGTGCAGGATCCTCAGGCTCATCTCCCTAAGCTCCAGCCTTCCTCACCTCTCCTCCTAGGCACTAATAACCTCAGGAGGCCTGGGAACAGGGGGTGAGGGGCTGGCCTGAGGTGCCCAATTAACCCAGAGAAGGAGCAGTGTGGATACAATGTACACTTAAACCAAGCCCAGGGGATTACCGTAAAAATACAACTTTTTACAAGCAACCTCACTAACAGTAAAACAGCCTTTTTACTGTAAGCACAAGTAGTCTGTTGCGATTCTAAACACATTTACCTTTAAAGGTACATTCTTGCATCTGGGAATCTGTTCACTTTTAAAACCATGTTTCTATTTGATGGCATAGTAAAAAGCCCATCTAGCGTTTAGTACAGTGCCTTCGGAAAGTATTCAGACCCCTTGACTTTTTCCACATTTTGTTAGATTACAGCCTTATTCTAAAATTGATTTAATTGTTTTTTCCCCCTCATCAATCTACACACAGTACCCCATAATGGCAAAGCAAAAACAGTTAAAAAAAAAAAAAATTTTGCTAATTTATAAGAATGATGGAGGCCAATGTGTTCTTAGGGACCTTCAATGATGCAGAAATGTTTTGGTACCCTTCCCCAGATCTGTGCCTCGACACAATCGTGTCTCTGAGCTCTACGGACAATTCCTTCGACCTCATGGCTTGGTTTTTGCTCTGACATGCACTGTCAACTGTGGGACCTTATATAGACAGGTGTGTGCCTTTCCAAATCAAGTGAATTTACCACAGGTGGACTCCAATAAAGTTGTAGAAGCATCTCAAGGATTATCAATGGAAACAGGATGCACCTAAGCTCAATTTCGAGTCTCATAGCAAAGGGTCAGTTTTGCTTTGTCATTAGGGGGTATTGTGTGTAGATTGATGAGGAAAAAAACAATTTATTCCATTTTAGAATTGTAACGTAACAAAATGTGGAAAAAGTCAAGAGGTCTGAATACTTTCTGAATACACTGTATATCATAAAAATCCAGCTATGGCTTGTCCAGGCTTAGGAAACTACATACAGTATAACAGGGTGAGAGAGAGATCGCAGCAGTAAACTCCCAAGTAGACGAATGTTTGTACATTCTATGCATACATGGTTGAGAAACAGTGAAAGGTTAATCGGCAGTGCTGTTGTATGTACTTTTTGTTGAGTTATTTATTCTCAGTAAATATGCACAAAGTGCAATAAGAAGTTCTGTTAATGCACAAAATAGGCGAGGTTTGCATATAAAGCCATATAAAGTCAGGTTCTATGCTCCTTTTCTCCTATCTTATAGCAAAATAAAGCAAACTAAACTGCCAGTGCGGTGTATCAGTGGTCCAGTGTGTGTGTGGTGTGTAGAGACTTACTGTAGACCAGAGCAGTATTTCTTCAGTAGGAAGTTGGACAGCTCTTGAAGGATGGGCTGGCTGTGCAGCGCCACAAACTGCTCCCGGCAAACCTGGCAACCCAAGACAGCACAACACACTCAGTCACTCTACTGTACTCCCAACACTCAAGCAATCACTCTATTCAACACTGGCATTTGACTGTACTGGGAGTTCTAGAGAGATCTGGCAATCTGAGCGAGCCCAATCAGTCACTCTGTCCTCATGATACAAGCAGAACCAACAACACTACTCAACTCTCCAGCTTCATTGACACAGGACTCTAAGTCACACTGCTGTAGGGTGAGTTATGATAATGATATGATCTCCATTGGGGTCGCTCAGTTTGTCCTCTCCAGTCCTGTCGGTCTCCATTGTGTGAATGGGGAGATCTAAACTAGGTTGATGAAACCGTCACAATCCCTCCGAGAGGAAGGAGAGGAGATCGGTCACAGACCCTGATACCACACAGACAACAGGGGAGGAGAGAAGGAGAAGAGGAGGTGGAGGTAGAAATGGAGGAGGAAAGGGATAGGAGACTAGCTAGAGTGATTGGGGCCATTCATTTATGCTGCCGGGTCGGTGCCAATTTAATGCATGCCTGAAGAATAGAAATATGGTAATATAAAATCCAGTGTCATATGTTGAGGCGCTGACCAAGTTATTTAGAGTGCGGCCCCTTGCCTTTGTGTTCAATTGGCTATGTAATGAGAGAAGAGCACTTTGAGATTTAAACATGACAAGAAATAACCATACTGTGAAATAACCCCTTCAATGCTAATCATTGGAGATTGGATGAAGAAATAACAGTTGGACGCTCTTTCCTTAACATAATTCACACAGAATTACCCATTATGGTAATTCGGCCATTTTGGATCTTAACAGAACCAGAGCGTCTCAATTTAGTGTTGCTGACACCTCGGAGTCACGCACGAAGGACAGGCCAACACAGCCATCTATACTCCGTAATGGCCCTCTGTAACAGGATGCAACTCTGGGACATATGGCGCTGCCTGCTGCCAATAGCTGTAAAGGCATGTATTAATGGCCAGGCAGCCAGTGGCGTAAAGTAATTGACTCCTGCCACCAGAGTATACTACTACACCTAGCCACAAGGAGATGTGTGCTAAGGTTAAAGGAGGAATGATGAAGGTGATAGAAGAAAATGAAGATGATGTACCTTGTTCATGGTGTCGACTGTGAGGGCGTGGGTCCAGAAGCAGTCGTGGACGGAGACGAATGTCAGGCCGGCGCTGGAGAAGCACACAGAGGAAGAAAGAGAGAGACATGAGATACATGGCTAGACGTGGTGGAAACTGGACCCCGTAACATGAGGTTACTCAGCCTGGGAGACATACTAAGACTTTAATCAATGTGACATACTATGACAACCGTTTATGGGATCAAACAGAGATGGTTATTCAGATAGCTATCCCATGCAGAGTTCAGAGGGGTCATGAGAGCTTTTACCGTAGCAGGCTAGAGCAGGGATGGGCAACTTTGATGGTGGTGGGGGCCACAAAAAATCTGAACTCATCATGAGGGGAAGTGGCTCGATGGTCTGCTTACCCACACATGCAGTCAGAGCCGGCCCCAGCCTTTTGGAGGCCCTAAGTGAAATTTTGTTGGGCCCCAATTCTACACATTTTGCCATAGGGCGTAGAGAAAATGTTGCAGTTTTGAAGCAAGTTTGCTGCACTTCTACACAGTTTGCCATGGAGCTGAGAGAAAGATGTGCAGTTTTACAGCTCATTTCCTGCAACTCTACTCATTTTGCCATAGGGTGCAGAGAAATGTTTGGAGTTTTGAATATGATATCTAAAATTAATGGGGGATTCGACCCCGATTACTAAAAGTTTAGATAACTAATTGAGTGACTGTCATAACATAACAAGAGAAAAACTGCTGATGCACAAACACATTTCGAAATTGGATAATCTACTTTTCTAACTCTCAACAGTAAGTTGAGACCTCCTTGGAAATTGATGCGGCCCGCCACCAGCTTCCTCATCCCCGCTATAGAGTGGTGTGGGTCAGAGGTTATAGGTCAGGCCTTAGTGTACCTGTAGCAGTAGAGAGCAGTCAGCATCATGTGTGTGGAGTCCAGAGAGTGGATAAAGTTAGGAGGGAAGGCATTCTTCTGTTTCACAGTGTCTGGTCTCCTGTGGACAGAAAACAGGACAGTTGTTCACAACAGGAAAAGACACACACAGTCACACACTCAGTGTGTTTCTCTTGGGTGTTGGCTAGAAAAGAAAAACATATTGCGGTATTAGTAGCTGCTTTGGCCACTGTCATCCAACTGAAAGGTTGGAGAAATGTGTATTGACCTCTGCTGAAAGTGAGCACTTTCCCAATCTATATATGCACACATTATCCTCATTAGCCTGTGTCCTGCCCTCCCAACCCACTGCTCCGGTGCACTTTTAATGAGGATGGAGTACAGGGGGATAATAGCTTGGGAAGCACCCAGCAGCACAGACTAGACATAGGCAAGCCAGCTATTCAGATGTCAACTCCACTCCCTTGTAACGCCGTTTGGCTGGGAACTGGCCAGAGTGATGGTGAAAATAGCCAAGCCTGTATCAGTGCTTAGGGGTAACGTCTACCTACTCTGAAAACTATGCGGTTAACTTTGTCTCTATGGGGAATGGGATAGACTGAGTTTAGCTTAAAGCACTTCAGCAACAGTTAGTGACCCCAGGGCTGGTTATTGTATGAGAAAGATAGGCCACTACCACCAGCAAGTCTATTTTATTTTATTTATTTAACTAGGCAAGTCAGCTAAGAACAAATTCTTATTTACAATGACGGCCCACCAAAAGGCAAAAGGCCTCCTGCGGGGACGGGGGCTGGGATTTAAAAAAGTAATATATACACTACCAGTTAAAAGTTTGGACACACATCAAAACTATGAAATAACACATATGGAATCATGTAGTAACCAAGTGTTAAACAAATCTAAATATATTTTATATTTGAGATTCTTCAAATAGCCACCCTTTGCCTTGATGACACACTCTTGGCATTCTCTCAACCAGCTTCATGAGGTAGTCACCTGGAATGCATTTCAATTAACAGGTGTGCCTTCTTAAAAGTTAATTTGTGGAACTTATTTCCTTCTTAATGCGTTTGCGCCAATCAGTTGTGTTGTGACAAGGTAGGGGGGTATACAGAAGATAGCCCTATTGGGTAAAAGACCAAGTCCATATTATGGTAAGAATAGCTCAAATAAGCAAAGAGAAACAACAGTCCATCATTACTTTAAGACATGAAGGTCAGTCAATACAGAACATTTCAAGAAATGTGAACGTTTCTTCAAGTGCAGTCGCAAAAACCATCAATCGCTATGATGAAACTGGCTCTCATGAGCACCACCACAGGAATGGAAGACCCAGCGTTACCTCTGCTGCAGAGGATAAGTTCATTAGAGTTAACAACCTCAGAAATTGCAGCCCAAATAAATGCCTCACAGAGTTCAAGTAACAGACACATCTCAACATCAACTGTTCAGGGGGGACTGTGTGAATCAGGCCTTCATGGTCGAATTGCTGCAAGGAAACCACTACTAAAGGACACCAATAAGAAGAAGAGACCTGCTTGGGCCAAGAAACACGAGCAATGGACATTAGACCGGTGGAAATTTGTCGTTTGGTCTGGAGTCCAAATTGGAGATGTTTGGTTCAAACCACTGTGTCTTTGTGAGACGCGGTGTGGGTGAACGGATTATCTCTGCATGTGCAGTATGAAAATGTATGCACTCACTAACTAAGTCGCTCTGGATAAGAGCGTCTGCTAAATGACTAAAATGTAAATGTAGTTCCCACCATAAAGCATGTAGGAGGTGGTGTTATGGTTTGGGGGTGCTTTGCTGGTGACACTGTGATTTATTTAGAATTCAAGGCACACTTAACCAGCATGGCTACCACAGCATTCTGCAGCGATACGCCATCCCATCTGGTTTGGGCTTAGTGGGACTATCATTTGTTTTTCAACAGGACAATGACCCAACACACCTCCAGGCTGTGTGAGGGCTATTTTACCAAGAAGGAGAGTGATGGAGTGCTGCATCAGATGACCTGGCCTCCACAATCACCCGACCTCAACCCAATTGAGATGGCTTGGGATGAGTCGGACGGCAGAATGAAGGAAAAGCAGCCAACAAGTGCTCAGCATATGTGGGAACTCCTTCAAGATTGTTGGAAAAGCATTCCAGGTGAAGCTGGTTGAGAGAATGCCAAGCGGGTGCAAAGCTTTCATCAAAGCAAAGGGTGGGTACTTTGAAGAATCTCAAACATAAAATATATTTTGATTTGTTTAACACTTTTTTGGTTACTACATGATTCCATGTGTTATTTCATAGTTTTGATGTCTTCACTATTATTCTACAATGTAAAAATTTTAAAAAATAAAGAAAAACCCTTGAATGAGTAGGTGTGTCCAAACTTTTGACTGGTACTGTATAAATATAGGACCAAACACACATCACAAGAGAGACAACACAACACTACATAAAGAGAGACCTAAGACAACACCATAGGATGGCAGCAACACGCGACAACACAGCAAGGTAGCAACCCAACATGAAAACAACATGGCAGCAACAAGATATGGTATAAACATTATTGGGCACAGACAACAGCACAAAGGGCAAGAAGGTAGAGACAACAATACATCACGTGAAGCAGCCACAACTGTCAGTAAGAGTGTCCATGATTGTGTCTTTGATGAATGAAGAGATGGAGATAAAACTGTCCAGTTTGAGTGTTTTTTTGCAGCTCGTTCCAGTCGCTAGCTGCAGCGAACTGGAAAGAGGAGCGACCCAGGAATGTGTGCGCTTTGGGGACCTTTAACAGAATGTGACTGGCAGAACGGGTGTTGTATGTGGAGGAAGAGGGCTGCAGTAGGTATCTCAGATAGGGGGGAGTGAGGCCTAAGAGGGTTTTGTAAATAAGCATCAACCAGTGGGTCTTGCGACAGGTATACAGAGATGACCAGTTTACAGAGGAGTATAGAGTGCAGTGATGTGTCCTATTAGGAGCATTGGTGGAAAATCTGATGGCCGAATGGTAAAGAACATCTAGCCACTCGAGAGCACCCTTACCTGCCAATCTATAAATTACGTCTCCGTAATCTAGCATGGGTAGAATGGTCATCTGAATCAGGGTTAGTTTGGCAGCTGGGGTGAAAGAGGAGCGATTACGATAGAGGAAACCAAGTTTAGATGTAACCTTAGCCTGCAGCTTTGATATGTGCTGAGAGAAGGACAGTGTACTGTCTAGCCAAACTCCCAAGTACTTGTATGAGGTGACTACCTCAAGCTCTAAACCCTCAGAGGTAGTAATCACACCGGTGGGGAGAGGGGCATTCTTCTTACCAAACCACATGACCTTTGTTTTGGAGGTTTTCAGAACAAGGTTAAGGGCAGAGAAAGCTTGTTGGACACTAAGAAAGCTTTGTTGTAGAGCGTTTAACACAAAATCCAGGGAGAGGCCAGCTGAGTATAAGACTATCATCTGCATATAAATGGATGAGAGAGCTTCCTACTGCCTGAGCTATATTGTTGATGTAAATTGGGAAGAGCGTGGGGCCTAGGATCGAGCCTTGGGGTACTCCCTTGGTGACAGGCAGTGGCTGAGATAGCAGATGTTCTGACTTTATACACTGCAATCTTTGAGAGAGGTAGTTAGCAAACCAGGCCAAAGACCCCTCAGAGACACCAATACTCCTTAGCCGGCCGACAAGGATGGAATGGTCTACCGTATCAAAAGATTTGGCCAAGTCAATAAAAATAGCAGCACAACATTGCTTAGAATCAAGGGCAATGGTGACATCATCTAGGACCTTTAAGGTTGCAGTGACACATCCATAACCTGAGCGGAAACCAGATTGCATACCAGAGAGAATATCCTAGCATGTGGCAAGTGCCTGAAAGATGGTTAGAGGGCTGTAGCCACATGAGAGCCACAGCCAACCACTCCACCTCATCACTTACTTACATTCCTTTTAAACTCAAATTACCACAATACTTTGTGTGTGTGTGTGTGTGTGTGTGTGTGTGTGTGTGAGTGAGTGAGTGAGTGAGTGAGTGAGTGAGTGAGTGAGTGAGTGAGTGAGTGAGTGAGTGAGTGAGTGAGTGAGTGAGTGAGTGAGTGAGTGAGTGAGTGAGTGAGTGAGTGAGTGAGTGAGTGGGTGAGTGAGTGAGTGAGTGAGGAGAGAGAGAGAGAGAGAGAGAGAGAGAGAGAGAGAGAGAGAGAGAGAGAGAGAGAGAGAGAGAGAGTGTGTGTGTGTGTACAGTGCATGTTTTCCTACCTTATCAGAGGTAGTAATCACACCGGTGGGGAGAGCTGCAAAAAACACTTAAACTGGACAGTTTTATCTCCATCTCTTCATTCAAAGACTCAATCATGGACACTCTTACTGACAGTTGTGGCTGCTTCGCGTGATGTATTGTTGTCTCTACCTTCTTGCCCTTTGTGCTGTTGTCTGTGCCCAATAATGTTGTACCATGTCTTGTGCTGCTACCATGTTGTGCTGCTGCCATGTTGTGTTGCTACCATGTTGATTCATGTTGTGTTGCTACCTTGCTGTGTTGTTGCGTGTTGCTGCCATGCTATGTTGTTGTCTTAGGTCTCTCTTTATGTAGTGTTTGTCTCTCTTGTTGTGATGTGTGTTTGGTCCTATATTTATATATATGTATTTTTTTAATCCCAGAATGTCCTGACAAATCACCAGAACGTCCTGACAAAGTAAGAAAACAATAAACATTTTGTAAAGTCAGGACTTTATTCATGTCCTGAATTTGTTTAATATGTTATTTTAGGCTTAAGGGTCAGGTTTAGGGTTTGGGGTTAAGGTTAGGGATAAGGTTAGGGTTAAGGTTTAGGAGTTAGGGAAAATAGGATTTTGAATAGGAATACATTTTTGCTCCCCAAAAAGTCCAGAAGATTCACAAAAACAAAGCTGTGTGTGTGTAAAGGAGTGAAAGCTGGGGAAATCAGCAGAGAGGAGGGAATGCTGAGCTCTGCTGTAACTGGCAGACTGGCAGCCTGTGAAAGTTGAGGGGGCTAACTCTATAAGCAGCAGCATCCCTCTGCGCAAGCACGCACACACACACACTTTAGTTTGAGATAAAGAGGAAGCTTTTTGGTGTGTGCGGCC